ATTCATATGTAGGAACGTAGTTGATAGAAAAACCAGCGACAAATATCTTGTCTCGTTTACGCACATTCGCAATCATTTACATACGCAATAAATATATTTACAAATCATGGCTTGATACAATCTGCTTGTTTATTTTACGTGGGATATTCCCTTTGATACCCGCTGAATCATTCACATTAGGCCATGTTTTCATGTGCAAATAAAAGATATTGTCGTATGGCCTCTGCAGATAGTTTTGAACAAATTGTTATTCAAAACCTCATAATATTTTTGCAAACTATGATTCGATACGAAGGTTTTTGCTTGATATTAAAATACCATTTTGGGACATAACTGAATAAACAACATTCCAATGACATTGATAAAATATTTTTCAGGTTAAGTAGTTGATATAAGAGCATTATCAGTAACTTGAATTCCAGTATAATAAAGAATTTTCTAAGTATTGTCATGCCAAAATTTCATATATAGCAGTTTAGGAAATACGCCAATTAATTGCTATTATTGCATTTTTTTAACAAAAAATATGGGGCATGTGAATAAGTTATTCAGTTCCTTGTAATCCTTATCGTATATGATATGAGACGCGCCATGACAAAACCAACATAATGGGTTGGCGACCAGCATGGATCCGGACAGCCTGCGCATGTGTTCGCTATCAGTTTCTCTACTTGTAATAGGGTTTTTAAGCAAACAGCATGTATCCAGATTAGAATGCGCGGATGCCTGGAGCCAAGCTGGTTGCAAACGCGCTATGTTGGTTTTGTCATGGCGCGGCTCATATGTTTAAAGTTGCGTTTCTTACAGCGAAACGATTGATAATTGAATGCAATATATATTTTAAAAGTGTCCAAGAATTTACAAATTTACAATATCTTTCTTAAGAAATCACGATATGTGTTGGTTGTCCCAGCTTATCGTGGATTTTGCTTCGTTTGAGTTCCAGTCGATATCATGCTGCTCTCATATATCAAACTCACTAAAAAGATGTAGGAATTGATTTATGGAAATATAAATTGGGCGCGGTTCCTTACAAATGTTAAAATATGCGTATCTGCTGTGACCCAAATAAACGTTTTAGAATCAGTATATGCGTGTTCAATAAAGTCATGTTGGCATTATGTGCCAATATCACCAATTGTTTTACAGAATATAACTTTAAGTCACCAGTTTAAAAGTTTTTGCGGACTTTTGAATAGTGGCCCTTGAAATAACAGCATATTAAAATGACAATGTTATAGTACATAGTATATAATCTTTAAACCATTAAAGATGATCAAAGCTTTAGAAGGTGGAGCAACAAAAGTGGTAAGTAGCATTTATTGTAATATGTTGGGAAATATGCAAGGAAATTATACATTTATCGGAAACTTCAAAATTGAGAACCCATTTCATATGTGGAGAAATGTATTTCCTTTGGCATTCTATAGTCTTCTCTGGGACATTCGATGGCTACAGAATCATAGGAGCTGTGGACTTAATGGCTTAACTCATGTCCATTTATCGGAAGCAGACATTAATTGAAAAAGATAACGAACAAACATAGCAGTAAACTAAAATACAAAGTAAATGAGCGCATTCGCATGGTATATAGTCTTATCGGTTTGCAAGGACATCAACATTAGTTGATTATAAAATCTATATCAAGCCAGTATAAGTTATCACAGCATTAAACAAACATGAGAAACAAATTGTACAATAATACGGTAATGTAAATTCAAACAGATGAGAAAAAAAGAGAAAATTAGAAACATATTAAAGAACAAAGAGGAAATTAAAATAAATCAAATAACAAAGATGAAATTAAAACAGATGAAAACATAAAAAAGAACACAGAGAAAATTAAAACAGATATTAGAACAAAGAGAAAATAAGAACAGTGACAGAACAAAGAGAAATTTGTAAAAAATAGAACATTAAAACATATGTTAGGACATAGATAGTAACTAAAAGGGATACAAGAATTAAGTGTTTTGGTTGCATGAAAAGTATTGAACTGATAAATATACTACTTCACTAAACATGCCAACCATTTTCAAGGTAAAAATGGTCAAAAACAACAAACAGATAGGGAATAAAAAAGAAAATACTAGATTATTCTCAATGTAGGAATACGAGGAAATGAAAAAGTAGATGCTTTAGCTAAACAATCATTAAATTTTCAAAAAACTGACTTATTGTTACCTGCCTGTGATTTAAGACCGGCTTTAAATAAACTCGTATCATTTGAATGGAAAGCAAATTGGGACAATGCCGTTTTCAATAAACTTCGCGATATAAACCCATCTCTTGATGTGTCACCATCTCAATCTCTTTCAAACCGCCGAAATCAAACAGTTCTTCTTCGATGCCGAATTGGACACACTAAAATTACCCACTCTTATCTCCTTACAAATGACAATGCCCCTTTCTGTGTAGGCTGTAATGAAAATTTTACTGTCAAGCATTTTCTTTTTGAATGTCATGATTTTTCACAGGCCCGTAATAGATTTTATTCTGTAAATTCACTCAAAGAACTTTTTAATACAATTCCATCAAAAAACATAATTGATCATTTGAAATAGATAAACTTGTATTCTAGGATCTAATTGGTTCATTTCTATTGTCATTTACAAAGTTTTACATAACATTTTAAGCCTATAATAGCATTCGGCACGATATGGCCAGTTATGTGTTTACGTGCCGTAAAAATCAAAACAAACAAACAAACTCAATGTTATAAGGTGCACTGACAAATGAGGGGAGATAATAAATATTGTTTTACTTGACATATTTATTTGCATTTACTTCCCTTTAATTGAAAAAAGGTAATGAAAGACAATCTTTTTATATCGTTTTATTATGCAAGTCAATTGAAGGCAGTTATCGAAAAGTCTTAAGATTGGAGGATACTGGTTATCTTCTGTACCTGGACACAAACAAAGCACGACCCGGGGCTCAGAAGCTCATTTAAGGACTTTCTGTGATGACACGCGCCCGGGGTCTGCCAGGTGCAGTCTCGACTCTCGATTTCCAATTGGCGGTCGTGAGTAAGGAGTACCCTCGACATCAAGATGCGCCCTAGTTCCTACCATCTTTTATAAATGTAGTAGCGAATGAGCGGTATTGGAGACATATTGATCGGCCTTTACAATTTTACAAGGTGTTTTCCTAAATCTTTCGGATATACATGTAAAACTATATGCCTTGGGAAGTATTCAATAATATGTTTAAGTAGCCTAGCTTTTTCTCTTGAAACAGTAAACAACTCCTTTAATTCGATCATCTTTGGGCGATTCGAGATTTTACCTGGGATATATGTTTGCCTTTATAACAGAAAAAGGGACATTCCAATAAGTAGTGATACTCATTACTTAATGTATTTATTGTACATATTCAACATTTGCATTCTACACGAGGGACGAAAGATTTCGCCCATCTTCCGGTTTCAATCGGAAACTTTGATAACCCGTACAAAAATGCATTTTAATATTCTTAATGTACTGAGGAAAGTATATTATTGTTTACTTCTTTTGGGAATCTTTTTTATACTGATTGAGTAAAGATATCAGATAACAGCTTAGTTGTACGATTTAGGAAAGGTTTTAGATCTGTTGCAGGCTGACAGTGTAGAATAGATGGAAGTTCATGTAATATATCTAAGCTTAGATTGCTACTGAACGAGTTTTTACTTTTTCTGGCACCATTTTGGGGGTCTTGAGATTTCTTGCTGACATAATAGTATTATTATATAACGTTTTTTATTTGCCTTATCTTCAATATGTCGAGGCGCAAAAAGGTCGCTGCATTTGTTCTGAACGTCAATATTTATTCCGATGCAAATTAGCAAGACACCCAATGGTATTATTTGTATGAGAAATATTATCATGCGGTACATCATGTTCTTTGTCATATTTTCCATGGATTGTTTTTACAAAGTCCAAAGACTATAAACACTAATAAACTTCCTTTAGGGCTAGAGCAATATTATCACACAAGAATGAAATAATGAGTAATATATATAACAAATATAAAAACAACAATAACTAAAACGTGTGTTTGGTACGCACAAATGCACCCGGCTGTAAATTATTTGCTAATTAAATTATAAACAATTATTTCCGATAATATGACAATAAAACACTTACAAATTTTCTGAAGAGCTAGAACTATATTATCACACAAGAATAAAATAATTAGAAATATATAGTACAAAGATAAAAACAACAAATGTCAAAAAATGTTTTTAAGCACTGAAACCCTGCCTTTTATTTAAAAGCATGCGGGTGGGTTAACGTTGTTAAGTACTTGATGTCATACAGCGACATTCTAACTTCATAAGTGGCGTAATACATCAGATGTCTTTCCTTAAGATATTTCAGGCGCCAAATAGAACCACTGTTAATCTGTAAGCTTGTTTGACAGCTTTCTGACATAGAACACTCCATAGTCCCTGGTGGGACCCACCTCAGTAAGGTAGTTTGTAGTAAACGACATTAAATACTCAGCCAAAGGCAGCAAAGGTGTCCAGCAATACAAACAAACTTTGAAGAATATTTTATTCTTACATGTGTTAAACGAGTATTTTACTCATAGCGTCTGACTGATAGATAGATATATAGACGGGTAAATTGCTATTTGCACAGGACTTACAATGTCACGTCATTTTTCCATTCAAACAGGAAAACTCACGAATACAATGCTTGAAAACAATTTTAGATAACGCATGTGATATAAATAAACAATAAATAAACAATACGAAAGAAGAACTACGAAAGGATGAAAGAAATCAGCAACATAAGCTGCACAAAGAATAAGAAGAAGATCACCAACTCAATTTTGATATTAAAATTCCAAAATGTTTATCAAAAGTCAACAGGTCAACGTTCATTCCTTTTTAAATTTTTTTTCGGGGGACGGGGGAGGAGCGGCCGGGCAGTAGCTTGGCTGAAACGCAAAGCAGGTGTGACTACATTAAAACACAACCCTCCGATTTAATTGTTCATTTTTCTGCAAGTAGAACTTATTATAAAGTTAATTACAATGAAAGCATAGAACGAAGTTACATTCAAAAGGACGGGAGAAATAATCTATATTTTAAGGTTCATTTTGGTTCGTTTGTGGTGGATTTTAAAACTGCATCAAGATCACGAAAACAATCTTCTGCAATCCTGTTCATTGTACATTCATACATTCCATCTTCAGTATCAAAAGCAATGTCGATAATCTTTTTCAATGAACTGTTCTGAAACATACTGTCAGCAGCTAGTTTCGTCTCTGTAAGCAATTTTGGCTCTTTTCCTTTCTTTATTACATGCAGTGCTATCAAAATTGTTTTGTTTCGAACTTTTCCTGTAAGAGTGAGAAAATAATTTTTACTTGTCTTAAAGAAAATACGCAACCACGTTTGTCAGAGCGTACGTGTGGCAATCTTTTACATAAATCTTAATGTGCAGTGGTCCAAATTGGGCATATTTTCCATAAGTATTTAAAAACACTATAAATAAACTGTTTGGGTATTCTAATTAGATATTCCTTAACAATTAAATGTTGATAGAGTACTTAGTGTGATTCAGAATGAGCATTTATTTGGCAAAAAATAATAATCTGTTCTATAACAGTTATCTACTATTAAAGATATGTAATTTCGGATCATGTATCTCAACCTTTTATTGCATTTTTTATTATTCATATTATTCTATTCCAGACCAATTCATCTTAAAAGGTAAATGACGAAATTCTACTGCATTAATTAAAAGGTATTTAGAAGTAACATTAAGCGATAAATAATATGGTATATAAACCTCGCCAATGGATATAATTCGTAAGGAATAAATATCCCTATTCATAACTGTTTAATCATTTTTTTTAAAAGTTTACATACGTAAGTTGTCATCATAGCAACTGTTGATGTTAGATTCAATGCGCGTTGTAGCATTACACACTATTATCAACAACGGTTCAGGGTCGAGGTTTCTAGCTTCACTGGGCTCCTTTTCATCAATCTCGAATCCAAAATCCCTCATTCTGGCTTGAAATAACTTAATAAACGCTGACATAGCATTCGTTTCAAACGGCGTCACTAAATATACCATATTGCGGGGATTTCCTAAAAAAATAAATGCTTTTAGCATAATGACGAACACACTTTGAATCACGTCTTTTCTTTTCAATATTTTAAACAAAAAGTTCAGTTTTTGTTTGTTTCATTTTACGCCTTTTTCCAACAGTATTTCAATCATATAGACGGGTAGTTTCCTAACCATCGCTCCTGGAGAGTTACACCAGTACTAGACTATCTTCCTCCGCGCTAAACTACCAAAGCATCTCCCGGGGATCGCACCCAAGCCAGAGAGGTAACTGGATTAAAAGTCATCGACTCTAACCCCTCGACCACGGAGGCGGTTTAAAAAAAGTTCAGTGTTCGTTGAATTAAAAATAATAAATTATAAATAAATATCATTTTTGTTTGCAAATTGTTTTCAAGTTTTGTCTGTGGAAACGTGACTTGAGTAAATTAAAGCAAAAAACTCTAAATGTTGTCTAAAATACTTAAGTCAAAGCTATCCGAAATGTTATTACTAGAGCTCATTTGTAATATTTAAAAAATAAAAAAGAAATAAAACAACACTATTTTATATAAACAATCTATCTGAAATAAAGATTATGAGCTACTTTTGTCATTAATGCCAATGACGTTTTCTTGCACACTCCCAAATTCCATTGAACCCGTTGGTTGCTTTTGGGCAGAAACAATTGGATCTGTTGTTTGCTTTAAAGGAGGAACAGTTGAATCGTGTGGCTGATTAGGGGCAGATGCTTTTGTAGGGTCTGAACAACGAAATCGTTTACAGAACTGCAACATTTCTCCAATGGCTTTCGTATTCATATCACACTGATATATAGTATTGTCGTAGAAACCCATATCAACCATCATTCCGATTTTTCTGAAACTTTCTTCGCCTATTACTTTGCCGCTAGAGGGGAGCTTTGGAAGTTTGTCCTCTCTCAAAATATGCATAATAACAAGGATAATTCTGTTGTAGTGACAAGCTGAAAAATAATGTAACTGTTATTTTATAGCCACAGCCTCAAACGTTTTTTCTGTACCTCGATCGTAGCGGCACAGTGTTAATAATCATTTGGATTACAGGGAAGCAATTGAAATCACATTTTTAATTACGACACATGTTTTGAAATACCATTACTATAGTATCGATGCATATTAATATTAAAAATAACGTCATAAAGTATGCAAGAGGGAGATCTATTAAAATCTTGGACGAATTGAATATTATTTACACTTTTAGAAAAAGAAAAGTTTCAATAAAGAAAAAATATTCTTAAAATGAAATATACTTGTCGTAATGTTAGTAACTAATTGAAAAAAGATAATCACGTTCAACATCTTTCACACATTGCTCAACTAAGACTTCAGTGGATCCGCCTTGGCCTTTGTTGCACACGAGAATTAAAACTGTTTCAGGAAGTGCATTTGTTAATGTTCCAATTACGGCAGTATCAATGCGGTTCTGTTTCATCGCAAACTTCAACTTTTGTATAAACATTGAAACGGCCGTTGTGCTTCTGGTGTCTAGTATTTGAACTCTTGGTACACTGAAGTATTGACCTGGTAAATAGGGGGAAAACACTATTCATATTTGCAAACCTTTTCTTGGACAAATGATAACTTAATTTAGTTATAATTAAGGAGTTAAATATATTATTTGTTCCAAGGTAAGATCAGTCCAAAATGTTTTAGGTTTAGGCCGCTTAAAATGTAAGATGTTATACACTTATTATGCCACAGTATTCACTACTTAAAGTTGATTAAATATTTTGCACATATTAAAAGATTCAAATTTTCCATATTCAGCCAACTTCTGAAAAACTTTGAATGAAATTAAACAATGTTTTCTCATATTAGGTAAAACATCTCTTAAACATAATGCGAATACTATTCTACAGTCGACTCCACTTATAACGAACTCGCTTATAACGAATTAGAGTTAATAGCGAACTAAATCTTTCATCCCCGACCGATTCCTTCTTTATTTTCTATTAGATCACATCGCCTAATACGTACTCGCTTATAATGAATGTTCGGCTGTAACGAACCATTTTTTCAAGCCCTAAATGACAGAAAACATGTAAATCTCCTCGATCATAACAAAATGTTATGATTGATATATCGGGATGCGGTCGATTAGGATCAGTACATGCATGACGCTATCCGATATTTATACAATCGAATGATTGCAAAGGTTAGTTATGGCTTCAGTGAATAAAGATTTCACAACATAATGTCCTACTTGTTGCGGAAAAAATTGTATTTCGCATCTTAAGCTGATTGCTGTAAATGCCCGATAATTACCAAAAAATTGATTGTTTTTGTTTCCAATATTAACAATACGATAATAAACATAAAGCAATATAATACTTTATAGACAAGTAATAAATACATGTACATAATAGATTGTTAAATGAAATGTCCTGCATTAAATTACCATTAAATAACTGCTGCCATAAAATACCGGTTACACCGGTAACCAGTGAAAAGTATGGATTTTTCACGGCAAATTTCCCCATCCAAACAAAGTCAGCAAGTTGTTGCTTCTTCACTTTTAGCGAACTTCGAATATAAGAAACGTTATTTTTATGTCTCATTGAGTCCGATATAACCGGAATCGACTGTATTTGAGTTTTAAATTTGAACAAGATGTTCAGAAGTACAATAATGTTCGTCATTTCAGTTATAATAATAAATTAGTTTTAATCTATATAATTTGAATTATATGTTCATACCAGTTTTGTGTTCATCTTTATTTATCATCTCCTGAAAGAAAGACAGAGAAGGTTGAGTAGAACAAACCTTAGATAATAGTTTTGCTGTGCATTTGGAATGTTCACAGGCCACATCCAAAGAGATTGTAACCTTGAAATTTAAAGTTTTACACGGTATGCACTGTGCAATAATGTTTCAATACTGCTTTTAAAATACACAAATCATATATTGTATTGTATAGTGGTCACAAGGCTAAAGCCAATTGTCTAATGTGCGTGATAAATCAACATTCTGTATTTCTGAATTCTTTCATAATATAACATTACGAAAATCAACTGCTTGTTCGAGAAACAACAAAAGTTGACGGTATTTTTGAAAATACAGGGATGATGCTTCACACTTATTCATTCTCACCTATTCGGCTGACTATTTTTGTCGATGGCAATAAATAATGGACATTCAAAATAAAAGTATAAAATAACTTGTTTTTATTGAAAATTTTGAAATGATGCACTAATATATAATTGATTTTTTCTCAACAAAAGTACTCTTACTAATAATAGGGGCCTAAACGTACAAGACACAAATCAAAGCATCATTGGTATACAAGAGACAATACAATGGTAAAAACACACACTTGTTATGTGTGGGGACAAGGGGTGATCATTCATTGTTTGATTGTGTTTTTCTGCGTTGCCTGTGCGTGTTTGTTTGTTAAATTCAGTTTTATTTGTTTTCTTTCCTGAATAATATTGATCTATTTGTAACAAAAACGTTATTCCATTCGAGCTAAAAAAATAAATCACCAGTGTTACTGTTTTTATTTTTAGACATACTCCTTTCATTTACCTATTTGATTAGTAAGATAGAAACGTTACCTTCAAACGTTCATAGTATTGGTTGAACATTTCTTTGCGTATAACTATGTCTCCACTACCACTTTGTTGGTCTAATTGCTGAAACTGAAATAATAAGATAAGTGAGACTTGTACATTCCTTGTACAGTTACACAAAAAGAAGACACCAAATCATGAAATTAATTAGTTTTCTGTTTCATTTATTTTTAAACATGTATGTATGTTTTGTTGTTTTGTTAAGTTGTCATTTTAAAATTATTATGAAGAGTAACATACACGCTTGTCTATGACGATATTTTGAATTTTAAGATTTAATCGGAAAAACTTTACCGTTGTTGAAACATGACATAAAACAGAAACGAAACTAATAACACAAAACTAATATGTTTCATGATTCATCCCGTCAAGTCTGAATAAAACGTACCAAATTGTGTTCTTATCATATGCTTTAGCGCAAGAAAAGTATATGGCCGTATTTTAAAGGTTTAATGTGATAGGTTCATATTATCTTTTATGTTATATTACATTTATTTACCTTAAATGTTAGCTTAAAGATGTACGGAAAAAGATACATAACTTTAAGACAGCAACATTTAAAGTACAGATATCTAAACGACACAATGCATTAAACTGATATTTCATCTTTTTTGTCACAAGTATGTTACTGAAACTAGATGTTACCCTCTGCCGTAGTTATACAACTTACCCATTCAAAAACTTCTTCAATACATTCCCTTTTAGATGACTTGTCACTAACCTATGACAAAAATATAAAGATAAGTTTCTAAAATGCTTCTGATTAGGAGGCTTCGTCGACCAAAATATTAGTTTGCTTACTGCAAATCACCTTACGTGTGTGTGTTAAAAAATGAAATATGACATTTTCTAAAAATAGCTTTACAGCTATAGCGTTCACTCTAGTCTTTAAATATGGAAACAGAAACTTTTCAAGCCATAGAAATTGTAGTCACCATCTTAGTTTTCGGGTAAACTTCGCTTGCATTATTGTCCCATTATTTCAATGACTTATTGTTCAAGGTAAGCCATGCCTTATTTGTATTTATTCATTTATTTATTTTGCTTTTATGTAGCAAATTTCTATTCAAACGATTATGCTAATGTTACAGAAACACATAAATGACTATTACATATATATCTTCTTTCTTAAACATATGTCGATTTAAAATAGCTTAATATATTGTTTCAAGGATATTCAGTTTGGGCACTTGACCTTTAAAGGAAACACATGATGTATGGCATTCCATAAAACGTTGTATTGTGACAAAAAATAAAAATATTTAGAAAAGTAGATGAAAAAAAATAAAAAAAATGATTAGAATAAGGTGAGAGAGAATAATGTAGAAGTTATCTGCCTTTTAAAAAAAAGCTGAAAAAAAACCGATTTAAAGGTACGCTATTCGACAGGGTCATAAAACCGCCATTTCTTTCGCTTCAAAAGTTTCGGTTTCTGTTGATCTTGCAAGTTGGAATTAAATCAAATCATAAAGTTCGATTCTATAGTATGTCTATATGCAACAGTTTGAAAAAGCTACCCTGCTAATTTACTGATTTTTACTGTATTCATATAACAGCTCTTGAAATAAATGTATTAATAAAAAGAGTGTGCACATAAGATTTTTCCGCACCTAGATGGACAGTGTATTTAAGAGTCAAAGAAAACGGAATACTAATTCATATTGTCGTTACATTAGCATGCACCTAAAACACACATTTAGAAATCAAAAACTCTTATATTCAAATATTCAGTCTAATTGCATGTAACACAACTGAAATAATGACGACTACTTACACATGAATTTAGTCCTCCCATTTTACACGAGGAATTCAACTTAAAACGATAAACAAGTTAAATCAATAATTTTTAAATTTAAGACTTTACCGTTATCAAACGACATAACGCAAAAACTTAATATTGGTATCAAATAAATAGTTTCTTATAATCAATGTCGGCTAAAAGAGTTGTGTCCGTTGAATACTTGTTGTGTCATACTTTACAATAAATAATTCACCGTTATCTCTATAAAGTAAACAAAGGAGAATTTTCAATTATGACATCTATTTTGTCATTCAGAAAAGCTATTCCAGAAGGTGTATATTCAGATAATCCGGGCTTGGTGAATATTTCTTGGTTTGGTGATAATAAAAGGATCACTGTTCAGAAAAAAAAAAGAGTACGTTTTTCATTATTTATCTTTAGATTAAGTAAGCCATTTTAATCACGCGTTTTATAAACATTGTTCTGTGCAAACTCAAACAATATATGATTGCTATGGATTTGTTTCACAAAGACCCTGCATCAAACAAAGTTGAAGATCGTTCACATAACTTTTGTAGTTGTACACATATCTAATCCTTTATTGTTTCTCTGTTTTTATAAATGACGTTAACTCAAACTCTATCTGAAGATACCCACGAAAAAAATGGATAATAGCTGACTCAACGAATATAATAGCTAAGGATAATGGCAAGACAAGCATTGCAATTATATTGTTTTCTTATTTAAGTGAAAGCTTTTATCTTCTTTGAAGTATCCATCTATGACACGCGTTTTTTTCAGGGTCTCACGTCAAGACAGAGAATAAAATGTCAACTGTAACTACATTGAATCAAATATTAGCATTGATCTAAATTTATAATAAGAATATCCCTGATGATCTGGATACAAACATTGATTTATATTTATTGTCACCAGATCACTCATGATCTGGATACATACATTGATTTACAATTATGTTAGAAATTGATTTGTTAATTTCTTTTAAAACTAAAACATCGATCTTTTGAAGCGTAGCGTAAAACCGTGTAACGGATTGTAACGATTCGACGGTCGAAACAGATTCGAAGTTCAACATGACTTTTGTGTTTACTAGAAACCTTGTTATTCATAGTTTTACGCATTCAATTAATCTTAAAAGCATTGCTTTCAATATTTTAGATAAAGTATATCTGTTGATTATTTATTAGCTACTTGTAATCTTAACTACTAGTTCAACGCAACAAAGTAAAAAGTGTTTGTGTATGACTATCTTTTGTAATACTGCACGTTTGTAATGATTTTTATCGTTGTATTATGAATTAGTTATAAATGTTTTTGGTTACATTATCGTACATAAACGAGCCAAGCGACTCGTACTAAATATGTAAACAAAGACAAAACTCTTCACAGTAATGTCAGTGATTGACTGCGTTGCTTTAAGACTTGAGCATGCATAAAAAATTATTTGTTTTCATTAATTTTGTAAATACGAAACTTTGTAAGACATATTTAATGTTTATTAAATCAAACTATTCAAAGTTTGTGAATTGTAAGTGTTAGATCGACGGAATGGCTTTGACGAACAGTATGTATCGTTATATTTTACGAGTAATGAAACCTATTTTATCATAAGTATCATAAGATTTTACGAATTCTTAATTGAGAACCAGTGGTTGAGATTGATTATGATAAGAAAAGTTCAAAAACTAAAGGTTTTCTTATTCTTATCAGGTACAGGACTTTTTTAAAGATATTGCATTACAGACGATTATAAGAAGACATGTCGAATTTGAAGGTATATGCTTGCATGTTAAGCCATATTTTATATACTTATAATATATATGAACTTATATTCAGCGTGTGTTTTCGTTGCTATCTGTTAAAACAAACTTTAAAAAGGGAAAGTAAACGATCGTAATTCTTAGAATTGTGTTATTGTTCTTGTTGTTGTTGATTAACTTGACTTACATTGTTTAAATGCTTAATAACAAACACATATCAAAATAGTGCACGAAATACATCATTTTTGTGGTTTTTTTATTACTGCAGCCATTTCAAAAAAAGGAAAGCCCGAAAGTGGGGAATGGTAAGTGTTTATATAATTAATTCATTTTCGAAGTAACAATCACGATTTTTAAGTTTCGAATACATTCTTAATTATATTCCTTGCAATACAGTTCCAGCAGGAATATTTGTGATAAGAACTGTAGAATGCTTTGACAATATATTGCGCTGTAAAGCACACACAGATATGCTGACTCATTGTCCGTCATTATCAAGCCGGACATAGATTTCGCAAGCAAGTTGTTTTACTGGATGAAAGACATCTCAAAAAGCATGAAATATGCAGTCTCGGACATGAAGTACACTTAATATATTAGTAAGTTTAACGATCTTTTGTCATGCATCCAAAGCACAGGCCAAGTTCATCAAAGCCCAAAGTCGTCGTTAGTGTCAGCAATGGTGGGATTATCAGAATTTGATCAGGAAGATAGTTTACTCTTCCTCTTAATAATCCCCTTTACGTTTTTTTTCTCTTGTATTCTTTAGACGACGTAGGTTGAGCAGTTGATTCGGTGCTATTGGCAGCAAACGAAACACCCTTATATATGATATATCCATGACTAGCATATAACATAGGATAAGTAGATTATTCGGTGCTAATGAAATTGAACGGTGCTACTTTGTCGGTAGACTAGCAGGCAATCTAGAACAAAGACCTTAGTGCTTATGACAGTAGACTTACATCTTTGCCAGTAGACAATACAGAACTAGCAGAAAGTAGATGGTATTCCTTTGTCCAAAGACTAGCAGACGATGTATGACGTACAGACGGCTCGGTCATAATGAAGACGACAGTAGTCCTTTTGTTAGTAGATGAGACATGACTAGCAGGCGCAATAGGACGGGCAAACAACTTAATGCCAATGATAGTAGACGTAACGTCGTTGCTAGAAGACAATACATGCCTAGTAGACTTCAAAAGCTGAGTAAACAGCAATTGATAAACATACTTATGGAAATCTGATGAAGCCCAATCTGTATGTGAGTTACAATGCACCTTTATGCAGTCAACTTTGTAACATTAACATTACGTAAACATTCATATAAAGCCAGCTTCATAGCTTATTCTATATCTTGTACTACAAGTAATCTTTCTATGTTATTGACTTCTTGTCTAACTGCCATCACGTCTCATGTCATAAGATACTCCAAAAGAGTTTTTTATATGGGCAAACATCTTTGTTGTCTGTTAAAAATTCCAATGAAAACTTAGATAAGTTTAAATTTAAGAATTATCAAGCTTCATATGTAAGTACTTACGATTTCTTTACCATACATACAGCATTGCCACATAAACTTATAAACGATAGATTATTATCTTTATTTCAAAAAACGTGTGCAAGAGAAAAGGTGACGTAATACACAATGTGAACCTGTGAGCACTTTCACTTTTATAAGATAGCATTCCTCTTAATTACAACTGACGGACTCAGTCGGAAAAACTATGATGGACAGTTCTAAAAGCCCTTTGGGACTGAATTGCTTCGGTCTTGCTTCGTCGGGCCATTGTAGGTGATTTTCTTGTTGCTCTGTCTTCCTTTAAGGAACGTACTCTGTTAATGGTCATTAGGCTCTACTTTTTTGTACATATTTACCCAGTCATATATGTGTATTATTTATTTCGTCTTATGTAACCATGACCATTGTTAGAACTTCACTTGGCGCAGATTGATTTTATTAACACTTTAGCGTCATTAAGGAACATATTGTGGCTCTGAGCGAGGTTTGGCGCGACTACAGCAGGTTTTAATTCCCTAATGTTGTAGCCACAACTGACCGTTCCAAGGCAGTACCCCCTCTGTGTTCATTTACGTGTTTTTCTTGTTAGTATTGCTACTATTTTAAATATTTATATGTTTTTGTATGTCTGCTTTGTTGGATTGTCATTGTCACCGCTTCAGCCCCCCCCATTTCACCCTAACGGCCCTTTACCCTTTAATTAGCATATGTGCCCGTTTCAGTATTTATTATTTCACACATAATGTGTCCCTCTGCATTCGTCGCCATTATATCCACTCCTAGTTTTTGGTTTAGTGCCCTGCTTGGGTGTGTCGGGGGACCACGTCCTGTGAACGTTGCCTTTGCCTTGTTGATCTTTATTCTCGTTTTTTATGCATTCCATGCAGAAAGCTGGTTGCCATGGCAACCAACAGGATTTATAAGTATAAATTTAAAAAATCTTCTTGTTAAGACCCATAAGGCATAGAGCTTAAATATTTTGCATAAGGCATTGTCTGGTAGACCTCTACCAAGATTGTTCAAATAATAGCCCTGGGGTTAAAATCGTCCCCGGCCCGAGGGCCATTGATTTTCAGTATATGTACATATAGTAAAACTTATAATACCTTCTTGTCTGCAGGTACAAGGCTTAGAGGTTTGATATTTGGCATGTGCTATTATCTTTGGGTACTGTCAGGATGGGGAAAATAATACAATTTTTAGACAGTTTTCTAAGTTTATAACAAGTATTTCGGCAACAACAGTGTCTAGTGAGTTACTAATATTGGATTTTAATACATACAAACTTACAAATTTGGATAACATTGTCGTTTGTAAGATGTTTTCTGAATTTGAACTTTTGCGATTTTATAGCTTTATATACATTACTTGGAGGTCAAGACTGAAGTGACAACATTGGTTGGATTCTGACTTTTATAAGGTTCGATGTTAGAAATCCACCAATGAAACACCAAAAATCCGGAAATCCTCCAATATAGGCCTGATTTCTGAATCTGAAATCTTGGATTTCAATGGCACCCATATTGAAATCTCATATAAAATCTACATACGAAACTCGTTAATATACAAAATCATGTTGTGAATACTTAAGGATTTCTAACCTTAATCAATCATAAAATTTACATAAATTACGTTCTTGAATTGAATTTGACTGAAATTGATACTAACAATAAGAAATCTTCAATATAAAATATGAAGTGACAGATTTCAAAGATGTATGTCATAGGACGTCTGCTACACAGAAAATACAAAGAGAAATTCAGTTCTCTGCTATACAATAAGGTAAGTTTAACATTTCTATCAGCTTAAATTGCAAAGTCAATAAGTGTCAATACAGTGTTCTTTCAGATCAATCAGGCAAGTGAATCTTTATCTTGTAGAAATCAACAATATATGTAGAAATCAACAATATATGAAGCTATAGGATTTCACCATGTCACTTGGATTTTATTATAAGTTCTGTTGTAAGTACATTTCAGAATTATGCTAGAATGTCAGATCCTTACAGTACTCTACCAAAGTTGTTCAAATTGTGCCTATAGTGTCAAAATCAGCACCGCCCCGGGGTCATATGTCATATAAGGTTTTCCTAATATGTATATAGTAAAAACTTTAAAAAAAATCTTCTAGCAATTGACAAATGCTAGAGGTTGGATATTTTGCATGAAACGTAGTATAGTACACCTTTACCAAGATTGTTTAAATTATAGCCCTGGGGTCAAAATTGGCCCCGCCCCGGGGTTCATTGATTTTCAATATGTACATTTAGTAAATAATAAAAAAAATCTTAATGTCTGAAGGTTCAAGTCTAAGAGCTTTAATATTTCTTATATGATATCATCTATAGGTACTCTACCAAAGTTGTTCAGATTTTGCCTCTAGTGTCAAAATTAGCCCCGCCCGGGGTCATAAGTTTTCCTTATATGTATATAATAAAAACTTAAAAAATCATCTTCTCTAAATTTACAAAGGCTAGAGTTTAGATATTTTGCATGAAACATTGTGTAGTGAACCTCTAGCAAGATTGTAAAAACTATAGCTCTGGGGTTAAAATTGGTCCTATCCCGGGGGTCATTGATTTTCACTTTGTACATATAGTAAAAATTAAAAAAAAATCTTGTCTGAAGGTACAAGGCTTAGAGCTTTGATATTTGGTATATCATATCATCTATAGGTCCTCTACTAAAGTTGTTTTAATTATGCCCCCAGTGTTAAAATTGCCCAATTGAATTTACAAAGACTAGAGGTTAAATATTTGGTTTGAGACTTTGCGAAGTGAACCTCTACCAAGATTGTTCAAATTATAGCACTGGGGTTAAAATTGGCTCCGCCCTGGGTCATTTATATTCATAATGTACATAAAGTAAAAAAATATAAAAAAAATCTTTTTGTCTGAAGGGGCAAGGCATAGAGCTTTGATGTTTGCTATATAATATTATCTATAGGTGCTCTACCAAAATTGTTCAAATTTTTTTTCCCTGGTGTCAAAATTGGCCCTGCACGGGGGCATTGATTCTCATCATGTACACATTGTAAAAACAGAAAAAAAAACAAATGTTTTCTGAATAAGAGAAAGCTACAGCTTAGATATTTGAAATGAAATGTTGTTTGGTGGACCTGTATCAAGATTGTTTTGAATTAAACCCTTAGGTCAAAATTTTGCCCAAGGGGACAGTGACTTACTTTCTTGTCCTTTGATGTACAGCAATGAAATTTTGACCATGTGCACAGTCTTAGTTCTAAAAATGAACTTTGATATCAGGTGACCTAAATTTTGATGATGTGACCTACTGTCTTGTCCGTTGATGTACAGCTATGAAATTTGAACCATGTGCACAGATTAAGATGTAAAGTAAACTTTGATATCAGCTGGCCTAGATTTTGACAAAGTGTCTTACTGTGTTGTCCTTTGATGTAGTCATGAAATTTAGGCTGTTTGAAATATGACATTTTACCACCAAATTCACTAGACTCAACTGCATTGATAAATTCCTACTCTGATCTTTTATTTGAATAACAATAGATTTAACCACTAATCTGATAATAAGAATTAGATAGGTCAGAGATATATGCATTTTGACAACCTTCAAGTGTATAGAAACAAAAACAATTGTTCCTACACTTCTATTTATTCTATTAATGCGATGGCATAGCATTTTTCACAAATGCAATCTTGTTTGTAATTTCAATAATATTTTGAAATGATGGAAAGAAGCCAATGTGTTGGAAACAATGAATAGCGTTCTGAGGTTTGGCAACTTGAAGCCATCGTTTCCTTAATATTTAGGAAAGTCGCTTTTGGTGAAGAAGTGGCCTACATGATCAAAATGCCATTTTATGACTTCTTTTCTCCCACACTGGTTTCAATGGTCTAAAACAACCGACGTTACAAGTATGTAGGATACATTGTCGTTTATTTGAAGAAACTTGCAGCTTCAAGTGTGGAATGACCCTCAACGAATAAGATGACTGTTTTTTTGTTTGTTTGTTTTGTTGGTGTTGTTTTTTGTATTGTTTTTGTCTTGTCTTTTTGTCGTTTTTTATTCTGATCACTTTCAAACTCATTAAAAGATTTACATAATTTATAAAAAAGAACAGCGTTCACCCTTACATTTTATGAATGTCCATGGATTGTTTAAGGAAAGTCATGAACGCAACTGTCGCGAAATCTTCACCAAGGTATATAATGTGTGGAGAGTTAAAGTTGACAAATGCATTAAAGTACGCAATGACAGTCAGATGTTGTCCGTTTTAGAGGTCACGTGATAAATATGTCGTACTCCTTTTACAGCTAGCACCTTTCCGGGTCAATTCAGAGACAAAACACGCTATAATCGGCCTCTAAACAGCGACATGGATCTATGATCATACGCGGCCAGTCAGAAACCTCACTTAATAATCTTTGAGATATATCATTACAATTAAAATGTGTGTGCATTGATTTCCACGTTCAATTATTTGCATTATGTCAGAATACCGTTTTGAAAAGCCGTAAAACCAGCCTTTTCTAGGCATATTGTTTCTGCGAGGAGTAGAACGTCT